TCAACAAGTCGTAATTTATTTTTCCCTGAAACTTCAAATTACTTCGCATTCCAAGTTTTTCATCGTCATAAGTTTATTTTATTTTTTTTGCTTCTGCAACATGGGAGAACAGGAGCTAGAATGGAATTTTTAATTCAACCGGAAATGTTAGAGGGTAATAAATATCCGTGAGGACACACCGAAAAATGGTGGGAGGATTTAAAGTGCATTTTAAACCTCACCAGTGCTTGTCATACGCAATTCAATTCGGGTTACCGTTATGCAAACGATGGTTCACCAATGTCCACTTGTAATCAACCGATAAAAATGGAAATGTATGATTACTTACTCGGAGCCATTCGGATTTTCAATACCACTTTTAACGAAAAATTATTTCAATTTTCCACTTCTGGATTTCAATGTGGATTTAGTTTTTGAATTATCATGGATCAAAAGGCAAGCGAACAGAATCACTGGGAAGAGATCATTACGAGAATCAATTGTGAGAGCATTTTTTTTTAATCAATTCGAATGAAAATGTTGAGGGCATTTTAAAAGGTTGTATTATACATGGAAATGCAATTTTAATTGTTCAGAAGTGCTTTGATAAAAGAAGAAAAATAAAAATTTATGACTTCAGTCGTTTTTATGAATTTTTTTTAATTGCATGAGTTTGAAATCTATTTCAATGAGAAACAGTCAATAAATTCTTCTCTTGTCTTGAATTGAACCCTGAAAATTGTAATCGGAACATTAAAAAAAAAAATTGTAATCGGAATATTTTTTTGTAATCGGAATATTTTTTTCCGAAATTTCAAAAAATTCCTGGAAAACTTTCGCGAATTTTTTTTTATAAAAAATTCGAGTAGGAAATTTTTTTTATGATTTCGATGGCGTTTTTTTGAGAATATTTTCCCAATTTTTTGTTTCAAAATAAAAATTTTCTGAAAAGTCTTCCAAAAATTTTTTGAAAATTTGGAAAAAAAATTCCGATTACAATTGTTTTTTCCCCGGATAATACATTTAAAATAATAATTGAGTTTGGATTAAAAAATGAAAAACCCGGGCTTTGAGGTCGAGGCGATCTCTCCAAATGAATTTTCCACCTGAATCTTGTGCAGAGGCTTGTCTAAAGAGCCATACGTCAACCTTCTAATAATCACCTTTAGCTCCAAGCGAAAATACCGCAATTTAAACCAGTACTCTTCATAATCAACAGAAAATTAATACAAGAGCGTCTTAAAGTCCTGATTGATGTTACAAACCGTCGGGAAAATGAAAGGATTCGTGTGGTACGAAAACTTGAGAAAGAGAAATTTAGACGATCTCAGAAAAACGTTTTCGCATCCAAGATCTACCCAAAGAGTAGGGGATGGGTTTATAGAGTGGCAAAAGAAGAATCCATGAGAGGAAGAGAGAGTTACGGAGAAGGTACGGTAGACATAAGCCTCGCTTTTTACACCGCCGACAAATCTCCAGGAGACGGCATTCGAGTTGAAAGCGGATTCGATCATATATATAAATTTTCGATCTAATCCATTTCTTGTATCCAAATATATCATAACTATAGGATTTTATTTATATTTATAATTTCTACGGACCGGAAATACTGACTCCATACCATGAAACATTATATCCTGTTTTGAAAAATTTTTCGAAAATTTGAATAGGAAAATTTTTTTGATTATTTCGATGGCGTGTTTTTTGAAAATATTGAAAAATCAAAAAAGTAAAAAACAACGGTATGATTAAAAGAAAAAATTATATTCGCAGAAATTACCGAAACAAATTTTTCAAAACGTTTTCCAAAAATAAAATTGTTTTGTATCCCGATTTTTTTTTTGTTTCAAAAGAAAAATTTTCTGAAAAGTTTTCCCGATATTTTGAAAATTTGTAAAAAATATTCCGATTACAATTTTTTTTTACCCGGGCATATACAAATGGAACTTTTTACGTTAGTATTTCTCGATAGTATTTCTGCACTTGCCTTTTCGCAAAAAAGATAGAAGCCTGTTTTATTGGTCTTCCCAGCAAATGCTTAAACTCCATCCGAGTTTATACTATCCTAGCTTCCCACTTTTAATGCTCTGCATATTTTAATAATTTTATATCACATGGAAAAAAATCCAGTAAAGAAAGTCGAACCAGAAATTATTCCCTTATCCCCAATCTCTACTGCAACATAAAACTTAAAAAAAAAGATATCAACAAGCATGAACAACAAAGAATGATTAATTGTGGAAATGAAAATCTCACCCAATTGGAGCTGATTGAAAAAGAAATTATCTGTCTTAATTAAAATTCTCACCATTCCCATTTCTACTTTTTATTAATTTGCGGAGGAAGAAAAAGGAATGATTGGCTGATAAGTGATCGTTATCGGAATTGGATGACGCAGCAGCGATAAAGTCCTTGGGGAATACAGAAGCCTTTGAATCCACCTGGAAAACCCTATTATGGATAGTCTAACGTTCTAACCATTCGATCAAGTCATTATCTTTCTTCATCCAACTCTCCAGTTTGTCGTGAGGACTCGCACGTTATTCCCGATGGAATTTTTTTCTCATATAAAATCGCAGATTATCTTCAACCAACAGCGATCAATCCAGCTTATTCCAAAGACCTGTTCATGGATCCCTCGAATTTATTTTCCAATTTGAATTTTTTCATCTATCAAACTCTCGCCGAAGACTGATAATGATCCGTGATTCTAAATTCTACGATTAAAAAAGCCCTTGGGTGGAAAAATGTAATCGGAATATTTTTTTCAAATTTTCAAAAAATTTTTATGAAACAGAAAAAATATCGGAAAATAAAATTATTTTATTTCTGGGAAAGGTTTTGAAAAATTTTTCAAATATTTGAGTAGGAACGTTTTTTTATTATTTAGATGGCGGATTTAGAATATTGAAAAATTAAAAAAGGAAAAAATAACAGTATAATTAAAAAAAATTATATTCGTAAAAATTTCTAGAAAATGATAAAAGAAATTGCGAAACAAATTTTTGAAAAATGTTTCAAAGCATTTTCCAAAAATACGATTGTTGAGACTCTTAGATTTCTTTTTTTCAAAAAAAAATTTCTGGAAAGTTTTCCAGAAATTTTCTGAAAATTCAGCAAAAATATTCCGATTACAATTTTTTTTACCGGTGCAGCTGAAATCGGAGCAATTGATTTCCGGATGAATGATAAAAATTTATAAGTCAAACACACGATTCGCCTAAAAAAAAAAATGTGAGTAAATAGATCTCCGCAAGAATTAACTCCACCAAACGTGGGAAGAAGTGGTTGATTCATAGGTTGTAAAAAAGGTGAAGAAAGGAAGTTTCAACGAACTTTAAATGATCTGGGTCGTTCCCCCATCCCGAAGAAACCCCAGACCGCCAAACCATCGTCATTCTAGAATTGGACACTTCAAGCGTGCACCTCCTATTTGCCCAACTTCTTTCTCCATTGAAAACCAGACAAAGCAAGAAAAAAAAAACCAGAAGAAGCAAAAATGCATAAAACTTCTAAACATATCCTTCATAAAGCCTCCATATCTCACAGCCATTACAAAAATATCGGTCACTGATTTACCAGAATATCCCTGTTATCAAAATTTCACAAATGGAAATATTTATCAGTTGAATTATTCCTTCAGCTTTACAAAATTTAAATTCACCCTCTCTTCATTTCCTACCAGCAGTCCTGTCATCCCTCGTCGGTGAACCCATAATATTCTATGAATACAGAGTAGTTGAATGCGCATTGTTGGCGTTATGCGAATGTCGTCTATTAATTCCGTATCAATTTAACGAGACAATACTAACATTTGCTATTTGACAACAGATTTCATTATTTTTAAATAAATTATTTTATTTTTTCCATACTCACTAAAGTCGTTTTCCAATTCTGATTTATTAAAACGGTTTGAATATCCGAGAGACCATTATTCATGCCGTTATTTCAGTTATACCCGAGAATTTTTATAATTTATCTTTTCACGTCATATTTACCCTGTCACAATAATGTCCAACGATAAATTCGCAGAAATTCAAAGCTGCCATTACAGAGGAATAATTAACCATCAAACAGTGACAGGCGCTCAGACACATTTAATATTATAACCCCGGGCTCGGACGAAAATATCTCAACGCTAATTAATTTCTCGGAATGATCTACTCCTAACGATGCACCGAAGCCATTGCCATTGTTTTTTTTTTTTTATTTTCACGAGCCACAAAGAAGTAGATGAAAGAATGTAGTGAGTGGAAAAAGAATAATAGACTTGCATTTCATCTTACTTGAGCATGTTCCCTCGTCCAATTCATCTGGTGGGCGAAGATTCTTAATGACACACTGGAGACCAACCGCACAACTACCAGAAAATCCGAACAATCCACCGCAGGGCTCACCCTCAACACGAGCACAAACTCTGCAGCATCTAATAATGACAAAGAAGAACAAGATAATATGAGAGATTATAAAATTTTATGATCCGTGATCTTTGCACATGTGCGAATACCTTTGCCTTCACAGCCCACCACTCCACCACCATAATGATACCGTGAAGTAATAGTAATAATAGAAAATCGTTGAATATGAGAGATAAAAAAAAACGATAAACCGAACATTTTGCTCAATTTTTATTTCTCGCGTTATACTTTTTATCCCAGAGCAAGTCGGGGATTTTCCACGTTGCTAGATATAAAAGTTTTTCATGAGAAAATCGGAGTACAGAGAGAAGAGCAGTAAAAAAAAAACGAAAAGAAGGGCAAAGGGGCAAGGATATAGACCCTTGAAAAATAATATCACGAGAATTTTCTGACGAATGTATACGATCCACTCGACTTCCTCGGAAAAACAATATCGATAAGAATAAAATGAATTTCTCTGCATTGTCTTTCCTCCCCATTCTTTCGCTCTGTCACTTTATCCTTTTATTTGATTTTATCATTGTGGTGGTGAAGAATCTTGAGAGTAACTGATGTCAAAAGAGAATGAAAAATAAAAGAAAAATCAACGATTGCACTTTGTTCCATTTATCTTCCATTAATATCAAGAAGATTCGTAGAAGGAAAAGAAGAAAAAAAATAATCAAAGAAGTGGGGAAAAAGTGTGAGAGAGCAAGTTCAAAGTTGAAACTGACAATTATAAAGTGAATTGTGCCGGACAGAAGAGGCCGTTGACATGGAAAAATTAAAGTTAAACAAATTCAAGTTAAACAAATAAAAAATAATGTTATTAAATAAATTTTTACCTGCATGGATCCCAAGTGAGACCACCGGGACAATCCTCATTTGTCAAAACATCGCACTCTAATGGTGAACAAACACACGAAAGTGCTCTCGCAACTGCCAGTGACAGTACGATAATGCCAATGATTAAAATCAACGATGCCCGCATATTTGATAACGCCCAACAAAAGAAAAAAATGATGAAACTAATTTAAAACCCTTTAACACCACCCGGGTTTGAGTCTCACTTCACCAATCTTATCAGTTCTCCTAGGATCACCTGGACACATTTGCTGCAATAAATTCACTCCACTCACACACGTGCCCTTATCATTCCCAGAGTCACCAACAAATGAACAATAGATTCGATACTGTTCTTAAAAAATAAATAATTCAATCTCGCGACATGGTTGTTGTCAATCCCCCTGAAGAAATACGAGAGCTCGTGACGTACAGTAATCACCGAGTGCCCGTCAATTTCCAATCAATCGATAACCACTAGGATGTTCACGATATGGAAATTTACCGCAGAATAGATTTATCATCTATTTCTATCCACGTGTGGCCCTGTTCCATTACGAGGTACGTCAAAATTTTTTACCAATGGATTCTATTTGGAAAATAATGGAGATGTTGATGGATGTCACAATTTCTATTGATTATTCTTATTTCTTTATGATTTTTTTTTGGTTTAGTTGGGTTTTTATTGCTCTGGATGGGGAATTCTTCAGGATTATCACGATCTGGTGCTGGGACTGCTCGTTGCCGAGGGTGAACGCGCACTGAGTGGAGGAAAACGCGTGAAATGCCACCAGGTATTCCGAGCCGTGTGTTGAATATGTACATTCCACCTCCGGGCGCGTCGGCGCCCTTCGATACTATTCATCCCAGACATTCGACGGATTCTCACCAGCTATTTTCCTCGTCACTGACTTTCAAAAGACTTATGGCTATTTTTATACCAGGGTTTTTACTGTCGAGGTGTGATGATATACTTGAAACTTATTTCTGCGAATTAATCGCGGAGAAAATGTACTTGAATCAAGTAGGGGAGAGTGGAGCATAATGGAACGCATTCAATCCTCAATAACTCGTGAACCGCTTAGTGGAATTTCATAATATTTTTTTCATTTTAAAACTTAAAAACAGAACTTGAGAATGAAATAAAAAATGGGGAATTTCACTCTGCCAATCGGATTTTATTCGCAGTTGAAACCGGTCCGCTTTGCTCCACTCTCTCCTGTAGACTCGGGGCTCAATTAATATGTATAAATTATTTTTTAAATAAATATATTGATAAAATATTGATATAATTTTGTTCTATAGTTAATATCCCTTTGTTGTGTGTTTTTTAAAATATATTTTGCACTCGATTTGAACACGATAAACTCACAGCAAGTAGTAATACTGCGTCTTAGGTCAGACATTGAATATCCCACGAGTGAAATATGAGTGTCAATAATTTTTCTAACAATCAGGAATTCAAGAATATACTCCAGGATAATTTCGTAATATCAGGACAGCATCCCAGTTAGTTCCTGGTGATCAAGCGAATTTAAAAAACTTTCTTTACATTTCTAGAGCGCCAGATTGTCTAGATAAACGAGAAAAATGTATTGCCATCAACCTCAGCCGGGAGAAAGACAAAATGGATAATTTAATGTACCAACGAACGAAGGGACAGGAAAAACTACAAACGGTGAGGCAAAGTATAAAACAAAAGGAAAGAGACTGTACGTAAATGTATCCTGACTAAACTCAATTACCCCTCGATCCCTTTAGTCTCAACAAAATGGTTCTTGGGTTATTTCCACTCCTATCTTTGCGTGCATAGATACAATGATGGGTAAACACATCGAGTTTGGTTGAGAATGGGAAGAGGGAGAGAAATGAAAAAAAATAATAATACAAAAATGGAGTGCCTCAACCAGAACTTGAGGTTTGTATGGAGAATCCTAGGGACGGGAATACACCTTCGCCTGGGGCTGGGGAATTCTCTCTCACACCTTTTATCCTCAAGAAAACAGTTTATTTCGTATTACCGTTGTTTTTCTGTATCCCGCACATAAATATAATCTTTCTGATTTTCTTCCCTATCCTGCATTATTCTTCATAGCACTTGTAGGAATTATTTCAGAATTTTTTCTAATATAAAAATATAGGACATTACGCAACTAGTGCGGAAAGCAGACGGTTACTCACGAGGGCAGCGCATAATTAAAAAAAAAAAAATATTCGCAAAAATTTCTGGAGAATTATTTAAAAAAATTCCGAAACAAGTTTTTGATAAATTTTTAAAACATTTCCCAAAAATACTATTGGCCTATCTCCCGATTAAAAAAAGAAAAAAAAAATTCTCTGAAAACTTTTCCAGAAATTTTTTCAAAATTTGGAAAAAATACTTCGATTACAATTTTTTTTTACCCGAGTCTATTCTGGATGATGATGAATATGCATATTAATCCGATAGTTGCACTCGAGATGATGTGATTCTATAAATGAATGAAAAAAATTCAAATAAACCCCGATCCAGCGTTGTTAGTGATTACATTAGAATTTCAATTGACGATAGATTGGTGGAACGCTTTTCCGACCTGCAGTTTACAAGAGGAAAACTCCATTTGTAAACTCCGAGCAAAAAACATTTTGCATAAGAAAAATTGGTGATTTCATCAGATTTATTCCATATTAAGAAGCGAGGGAATTTCACCCCAAGTAAAATTGCATTCTCGTATTGCATATTTAAGAAGGAAATTACAGAGAAAATTTGTTCCACCACAAATCACAAGCAGCTGAAGTATTTTATACGGACAATCAGTCATCAATTTTCAATACTCCCCTGAGAGCTTTAAAACCGTTTATTTCCGGATGAATTCATTGAAGAAGTGAGTAATAATGAAATTATTCTCATGATTATATAATGAAAAATCTGAAAATGAGAAATTCGTTAAAAAACCAGAGGAGGGGTTTTAAAAAGGGAAGAAATTTTAATAGAATCGTCGATTCTACTCCCACCACCCACTCTTGCATCCATGTAGATGAATTCCCTCCCATCAAGCGATACCAAAAGTTTTCCATAGACGGATGATGACTTTCAAAAAGTTTCTATTGCGTGGCATCTTAATGTTAACTTAATGTTTTCCCTCTGTTGTACTTTTGTTATGGTCACCTATTTACTTAGTGACCGCACTCATCGTTTCCAACTTTGAAGCCCCAAATCCCCGTCTTATGGAGTGACCCAGGACAACAATAAATGGAATAACTGAATTATTCAAAGAGAATAAAAATGTGGACATTCATTGTACTCATGCAAACAAGGGCCTTTTGCCTGCAGTACTATAAAATATCTCTGACTTCATAATTTTAATTTCCTTCACTCGCTCTCTCCGCTTATTCTCCAGTAAACTTGGTAATTGAAGAAGACAGGGGGACAAATGAGAAAGTACTTGTGATGTAATTGTCAGATTGAGTTTAAACCACAACGTTGTGACATGAATGTTCACAATTCAAAAATGGACACGATGGATCAGCAAATATTAAATATATGAAATATATAATTTACATCGAATTTATTTTTTTATATCCATGAAAAATCTTTCAACTTTTTCTCAATATTTCAGTGTAAACCCCAAAAAACTTGAGATTTTACGAAAAATTCAATGAAATCCAATATTATTTATTTATAAATATTCAGATGACATAAAAAAATTCCAATCTTCCTGGATTTTCAGTGTAATTTTGAAATTTGAAATATCACGATGTCCTCTCAATTTATTTTTCATTTTTTATTTGATTTAAACAATTTCTTTATTGTTGGTTAAAAAAAGAGTACGAAAAAATGGAAAATTCCTCGCAGGTAAAGGAAAACTCGAAAAAAGGCACTCGACTAAGTCCCTCTATACGTTTTATACGATTGGGGGATTTTTCGTGGGTTTAGCGAAAAGTTTTTCAGAATTCGTCAGGGATATGGAAACGGGTATTGGATCGATGGTAGAACGTCGGCCATTAATTTGAATAAAATATCGGATTCACGAAGATATCTCTTGAACCTTATATATGCGGATTGATCCAGAAGATACCGTGAAAAAAGGATCGTAAAAATAAATGTGGAATAAAATTCTTCGCATGATTCAAATTAAGGATGTTTCATCCTTTCATCTGAAATTTACGTTTTTTTCATTTCTCTGCAAAATTTTTTCTAAAAAAAATAATTAATTGAAATTAACAGTAACGAATACAAATTTCAAAGAGATTTATTCAATTTAATGTTTCAATGTTCATCAATTTAATTGATTCGTTTAAAAATATATTTTTTTTCATTCACTGAATTTCTTTCTCAGTGCGGAAAATGAATGAAAGATAAATAATGATGGAATAGGTAATTAGTTTGGAGTAAAAATGGGGGTGAAAAAAAATTTGTAGTCGCTGTATATTTTCACGAGGGGACGAGGAAATCCTAACTAGCGAATCAAACTGATGGAATAGGTACTCAGTTTGCATCCGAATAAGCTCTAGCGTCGCCAGCAGTTCTTCCCAGCGGTAATTCAATTGAGAAACTGAATAGACCACTTCGTTTCATTCAGCTTGAAAATAATTATATGTCTGTCCAATCTACTCGTTTCTCTTCCTTCTTTTATCTCAACTCCAGTTGCCTACGAAATTAAATGCTACTTTCCCTCGTCCATTTCAATTTTTTTTTTGTATTCTCTCCCTGTCTTCACCACCTACAATTCAAATGAACCAATTCAATGCGTACCAATTGGCATACTCCTTTTTTCTTCTAGGTGCTACAAACACAAATTCCTTAATTACTTTTTTTGTTTCTCTCTCGTTTTCTCTCTCACTCGCTCATTCTGTTACTTTCAACTTTTAGGTGGTAAAAAAAAAATGGGAATGTTCGCGCGGGGGTAATTTAATTGGTGGAAACTTTCGCATGACAAAAAGTTGAATTATTTTACGACTTTTTCCTAGGGACGATTTCAAACTTCAAAATGTCAGCATCAAACTTCAGTGGTGGGTGGAAAATTCATCGGATTTTTTTAGGAGGTATTTTCCAAGGTATTTTGATACAATGGTTTAACAAATGGGGGGGAGGGAGGGGGAGATTGTCGAGTTTTACGAGGATTTGCGTTTCTCTTGACTTCTGGAATGAAGACTTGGTGTTATTACGGTTCTTTTACTACTGAGGAGAAATTTTGTGGTCAATTTACTTTAATCTACTTTTTAAATTCACGATATCTTCTTCGCGATTAAAAATTATCTGAATAATCATTTTGAAATGTTCAAAAAAAACAAACTGCTTTTTATTTTTGATACTGACCTCCACTCCATAAAAAAACCGGAGATAAATTTATTAATCCATTCTTTATTTTCTCTAACAAAGAAATTTTTTTACTGCAATCGCAAAATCAATGCCAACAGATTCCTCGATCCGTTAATTACCCGAAAAACGAAAAAAAAAATGTACACAGTGAAAAATAGCAATTAAATTGTTTCAATAAAATTACGAGAAATTTTTCCTTGTGTGGTGGCTGTGAAGATAATAAAAAAAAATGCCTGAGTTATTCCTACGACTAAATTAGACATTCTCAAGTGTGTCTAGAGATAAAGAACTGAATGCACTGGTGTTAACACTATTTTTGGATGAACGTCGGAATGTGTATGTGAGGATGTAATTTAAGAATTTTATGAGGGTCCACGCTCCTCCTCACTCTCTGAGAAAGAGGCTTGATCCATGGTTTGAGGTGATACGGATTCCTCAA